ATAGTAAAAAAATGTAGAGAAAAAACAATTTGAATACACAACAGAAAGAAAATTAAATAAAATATTTTAGATTAAATTAAAAATAAGTTTAAAATATTTTACAATAATAGTTTTGTTTTAAAATAAAAACAAAGAAAAAGAAGCTTTTTGAAGTAGTAAGCATTTAAAAGTTAAACTTTAATGGTTTTTACCAGGTTTTGGTAAAGACAACTAAAAGTTCTTTGCTAAGCTTTTCAGCTAAACAAACCTTTTCTTTGTATTTATTTGTTGTACTTAAAAATAAATTAAAAATCAAAATATAAATTAAAATATTTTAAAAACTTTTTTTCGTTACAGAAAATCTATTTTTGTTTAGACAAAATAAACTGTTAAAGCTTTAAGTGAAAAAAAGTTTTTGAAATATTTTAATTATTTTAATAAGGAGTATAGAAAGCTGTATCCACACATAAAATTACAGAAATTATTTTAGAATGGTGATTAAATAATTAAGATTTAAGTACTTTAATAAAAAAATATTTATTGGTGTTTTTATTAAAAAAAAAATTATTTAAAAAGGTGTTTAAGAGAAGTAGTATGTATATTCTTGTGTATGATGGTGGTAGTTGATTTGTTTTTACAATTAAGTAGAAAAATATGTATGTAGAATGTGAAGAGAAAAGAGATTATAAAAGCTGTAGAGAGAAAAAAAGTTATTAAAACTTTATATTGCCTTAAAGTTGCAGAATAAAGTTTTTTTATATAAATATGTTTTTATATTAGATTTTTTATTTATAGTTTATTTTTAAAAATTTAGTTAAAATTTTCATTTGTTTTAAATATATTTAAGTTAAAGGTGTTGTTTTAAGGATTTTAGTTTTAATTAAAATTTGTTTTTTATAATTTTATATAAAAATCATAATATGAAAGCTTTTTAAAAAACAAAATGAAATGAAACATGCATAAAATATTTAAAATCTGCAAATAGGTATAATAAGTTGAAAAATAAACATGCCCAAATTTGTTTAAAAATAAATAAAAGCATTTTTATATTTTTTTGTGGAAATTTTGTTTGTAAAAAATAATTTACCTTCTTTTTTTTTTTGGTTAATTTATTAGAAAAAACATCATGCTTTTGACGTAGTAATTGTTTTTTTTTTTATTAATTTTTGTTATTTTTTATAACATTAGTGCTGTTTTTGAAAATTTTGAAAAATATGTGTGTAATAAAAAATGTTTAAAATTTTAACCAATTGTTTTAATTTTTGAATTTGTTTTTACTTTGGCTTATAAATTTTTTTAATAAATATTTTTGATTTTATTTTTATTCATTCCGTTTTTTTTAAGTAAATTTTTTTTTATTCAAATATTAAATGAGCCTTAACAACAACACTTAAAACTACATATTTGTAAATATTAATAATTTGTTTTATAATTTTTATTTTTTGGTTTTTATTTGTTATTTAAAAAAAAAGCGTTTTATTCTGTTGGTTTTAATTGGTGTTAATATTTATTTTTTGAATTTTAGGTTTTCTGTTCATTTTTAATTTTTAACACTTATTGATGATTTTGTTTATCTAGTAGAGTTGCAGTTTTTTAGGTATTTCTGAGAACGAGTTTATGAATAAGTGTGATTAACTTTAAAGCACAAGATCAGATAAATCTATAGATGAAACCGATCATGTTTGGACTAGTTTTTACTTTATTTTAAAAATAAGTCCAGAAAATGTTGAAAGATAGTAAGTTGTTAAAAAAATTATCAAATATTCGACTCCTTTCTTAATATAAAACAATTTTCCTTTATTGATATGTTAGTTCATAAGCTTTCAAAAGCTCTAAAACAACAGCATTTATCTCCTCAATTGTACTATAAAGCTCTGAAGAATCTGTAGCTTTGCGAGTATTTGAGATTTTAGTGAGATTTTGTCTATAAGCTAAAAGCTTACAAAAGCTCACTTTTATTAATGTAATTGAGCACTAAAACTTTTGACTGAAAATTGACCTTTTTACATCAACATTTCATTCAAAAAGTGATAACTGGACTCGTCTACTTTTTCTCATAATCACAGTTCTTTTTGATCACCAATAAAAAGCATTTTAGTGTACAAAGATCATTGCTCATAATTTCTTATGGTGATCCTCTTTGGAAGAACTGTTAACTTTACTCGGGGAAGTCTTGTACTATAACGCTTTAGTGAAAGAAATTCGTTAATAAGCAGCATTAGTTTGTGATCCTCTTTGGGAGATCTCTTAGAGTCCTATGGTGATTTAGTGAATTCACGTATTATATATCATGGAGAAAATTCACGAATTATTTTCTTAAAGTGGTTTGTTTGGATGATCTAAAGCACTGATCGCTTCTCGTCGCTTCATGGTGCATTTTATTATGCAATTTATTGATTCTTGATAACTTTTTTTATTTGCATCCAAATATCATTTTGAATTTGAAATGATCACATTAGCAATAAATAATAAGAATGATCAAATGAATGTGATCAGGAAATAATCAAGATTTCGACATATGTATGTTTAAAGAAACGTCAACAAAACGCGAAAGAGCTTGATCTCGAATAACGAGAGTAGAGATTAGATGCGATCTTATACTAATCTAGACCATTAAAAAGACGTCAACGAAAGCGTGGCTTCGAAAGCGTGATAAAGAATGAGTTTTTATCGTGTAAATTTTGACTTTTCCGAATGAATACAAACACCACTGGGCTATGGGATGAACCAAACGTAATAATACGGTGCCCATAGATCATTTATAGCTCATAATTTCTTATGGTGATCCTTTTTGGGAGATCTCTTAACCTTTCTCTAGAAAATCGGAGTTGTGTCCTATGGCGATTTAGTGAATCAAATTCACGTATTATCTGATTATCTAAAGCAAAAATTCTCCTCGCTTCATGCAAGTCAATTTTTTGATTCTTGATCACTTGCATCCAAATATCATTTTGAATTTATTAGTGAAGTTGAAATGATCATATTAGCAATAAATAATAAGAATGATCAAATGAATGTGATCAGGAAATAATCAAGAGATCGACATATGTATGTTTTTATCTTAAAGAAACGTCAACAAAACGCGAGAAAGTTTAATCTCGAATATCGAGAGTAGAGATTAGATGCGATCCTACTTATACTGATCTAGATTTTGATCTAGACCATTAAAAAGACGTCAATTAAAGCGTGACTTCGAAAGCATAATAAAGAATGAGTTTTTATGGTGTGAATTTTGACTCTCCCGAATGAAAACAAACACCATTGGGCTGTGGGAGGAACCAAACGTAATATTACGGTGTCCATAGATCATTCATTTCTCATAATTTTATATGATGATCCTTTTTGGGGGATCTCTTAACCTTTCTCTAGAAAATCCGAGTAGTGTCCTATGGCGATTTAGTGAGTCAAATTCACGTATTATCTGGAGGAATTTCGCAATTTTTTCCTTAAACTCGTTTGTTTTGAAGATCTAAAGCACCAATTCTCCTCGCTTCATGCAAGTCAATTTTTTGATTCTTGATCAGTTCTTTTATTTGCATCCAAATATCATTTTGAATTTTTTAGAGAAGTTGAAATGATCACATTAGCAATAAATAATAAGAATGATCAAATGAATGTGATCAGGAAATAATCAAGATTTCGACATATGAATCTATATATCTTAAAGAAACAAAACGCGAGAGAGTTTGATCTCGAATATCGAGAGTATAGATTAGATGCGATCCTACTTATACTGATCTAGACCATTAACGCTGACTTCAGCGTGACTTCGAATGCATGATAAAGAATGAGTTTTTGTGGTGTGAATTTTGACTTACCCGAATGAAAACAAACACCATTGGCCGACTATTTAAAAAGTTTTCCTTATAAAGTTCTTAACACAAATGATATTCTGAAAAAAGCATCCAAATAACAGTATGAATTTTTGAGTGAAGTTGGAATGATCACATTATGTGAGTTTTTATTGTTAGACCGAAGAATAGTTGATCCATCTTTCAATTTAGTCAAAAAAATGAGTCAATAAAGAGATCTGCCAATATTGATATCAAATGATGAGATTAGAGATCAAAAGTTTTTGATTGAACATCTAGATATCGATTTATACTTCAAAAAAGACAATAATGAAAGGGTGATTTAGAGAGCGTGATATAGATATTGATACAATGATCACGAATGACTAGAGTCAATCAAATACTGATGTAGATTGCGATGTAGAAACTTAACGATCTCAACGAAAACGTAACTTGGAGAGTATGATTAAGATCGAGTTTATGTGGTGCCTTAGAGAGAACTTAATGATCGCGAATATGATTCTAGTGCTAATGATGTCTATGGTTTGTATCATTCAAAAACAGATAATTCAAGCGAATTCTTGGTACTTAATCATTTTAAATTAATAGCAACAGCCATTAACTTAAAAGCAATTTAGAAATGACTTATTATTAAAAAATTTCAATTTATTTGGAAACAACATTTTTTTCTTATATCATTCCCAGAAATACCCAAACTTAGTTAAGTTTTTCTTTTTAAAATTGTTTTAATTTAGTTTAATTTTATTTCGTTTGGTTGGTTTCCTAAATATGTCTATCAAATAAATTAAATAGGGCTTTTCTTTCCTGGAAGTATTTTAATTTTCTTTTCCTCTCTCTCGTGTCAGTAAACGTTTTCCTCTATTTTTTTCTTTTTTTGCGTAAAAATGTCTGTGTTAAAGGTAGATTAAGTAAATAGGAAGTAGTTTTAATAGGTTTCTTTTTTGTCTATCTTTATTTGTATTTTATTCACTTTTACCAGAAAATGTAGAAGAAAAACAAAAACGCACCTTTATATTCGACCTTAATTTGTTTGTTTAGCTGTGTTGTATGTAGAAAAGTTTGTTATTTTTGTTTTGTTAATTTTTATGAAGAGTTTTTCCTTTAATTTTATTTTTATCTAAATATGTATGAATTTTTGGGTGGGTGGTTAGATTTTCCTTTTATCCATCTTTTGTTAAGTAGTTTTTCAAGTGTTTATGTGTGTGAGAGTTTTTCCTATTTCCTTTATTTTTTCCATTTGTATGTACAGAATAACAAAAAATTTTTTCTCATTTTTTTTTTGTTAGGTTTTTTGCTTTGTTAATTTTTGTTAAGCTTTTACTACTGCTTTTATATTTTTGTTATTTTTTTTACTTTTGTCTAAAGGTTATTTATATAAAACACGGCAATTTTTTTTTAATCTGTATCTCTTCTCTACGTTGAGGTTTTCAAAGTATAAACGAGTATATGTGTATGTATGTCAACTAGATGTGTGTGTGTATATGTATAATGTGTTATATGTATAATGTTAGATTTGTTGTTGGTATGTGTTTTTTTTTTTACTAATTTTGTTTTTGGCTTTTTATTGTTTTGCTTGTTTGTGGTTTAATATATTCAGTTATTTGTTGTTATTTTTTATTAAGTTTTTATTTTCTTCTATTAAGTTTAATTAACCTTTGAATTAAACTATGACTCTTTTGGTTAATCACCACCTAAACTTAACGCCTGTACTATACGTGGATCAGCTTTACTACCCTCACGAAATTCTTCTAATGTCAAACGATCATCATGATTTTTATCCATTTGATCGAATATTTTATCCACTCGTTTTTGTGGTGTATTCTCATCATCTGTTTGTGGTTGTTGACCCTTAAAGTAATGAATTTGTAAAAAATTTAATAAAAATGAAGTAATTTAAAACAAGTAACAAATTATATGCATATCGAGTTAGTATATTCAAAAACTGCTAACTTAAAAAAGTCCACAATTCAAGAGAAGAAATAAACTGTTTAATTTGCTTAATATAAAGCAAATTAATAACTTACTTACTCCTATAAACAAGTTTGAGTTAACACTTTTTGAATATAAGATGTCGATATAAAAATTTAATAGTATACCTACCACCATTTGATAAATAGCATCAACTATATTATACATTTCTTCTCTCGTTATGTAACCATCATTATCCACATCATACAGACGAAATGCCCCTAAAAATTATTTAAACATTTAATATTAAATAAATAAAACACTTAACACAAAAATCCCACAGAAAAATCAATAGAAATTTCGTAAAAAATACATACATTGTAGTTTTTCATCTAAATTTCCTCTTGATGTAATCGATAATGCGCGTATGAACTCCTCAAATTCTATCGCTCCATCCTAAAATGTACATTAAATAAATAAAAAGAAAACACCCACACAGAAAAAAAAGGAAAAATAGAAAAAAAACGAAATAAAATAATTTTCAAATTTTCTATTACAATTGTATTGTGGTGGCATGAAGAATAATGATTGACTAAATATAGCTGCTGGATGTACATATGTAGGGATGGATGGATGTTTAGAAACTTTATGAATTCCTCATGTATGTATTGAATTCAAATGTTTAACAATAGATGTAATTGATTGCTTTGTGTATTGAATAATAGTTAATGGTTGAATGATATGAGTGATTTATATATATGTAGGTACATTATATAATGACTTTGATGATGATGATGATGTTGAGCTGTTGTTGGCGTATGATGGCACGAGTTTTCTCTCTTTATTGTTATAGTTTTCCGGAAATTGTGACAAGTTGTTTAATGAGCGTTACTGTGTTACATTTTACAATAATATGTTGAAATTTTAATCTCATTTGTCATGTCAATATCGTATAACAATAGTTATTAAATTTAATGCAGTATATTTTTAGTTGAGTTTTTGTTTATTTTAACGTAGTATCATTTCTAGTATGATATCGAATTTACCATTATTTATTTGTATAAACTTTTTGCAATAATTCTGTTTTACAGGATTGATATCAAAAATAGTTAAATCACGCATTCCTTTTATCCATAAACTTTATGTCTATAAAAGAGATAAAGCAATGACTCTTGGATGAAACTCTTAATATCATATAATGTTAGGTACAGCATATTTTTATATCCAGATATATTTATCCGTTCGTTTCAAACATCATGACTACTCTTGGGCACTTTACTGGTTTGCTGAGCACATACATATGTGAGTTATTACATTAATCCAATGCACAAACAACAAGATTTTATTACCAATAAGTCCATGCACATCTCCTGATACAACAAGTATTCTTACTAGTCGTTTACGTTATTTGTACTGGTCAACATGATAGCTTTATTTTTCACGGGTTTATGCCATGATCCTTTCGAAAAACATGTCACACTTCTGTTCTTTTTTTTCATTTTCACTGCCGTTTTCTTTCTCTATCTCTTTCACTTAAATCATTACGATTTCTTAGAATTGCTTGACAGATATCCAGTTTGATCTGTATAGATCATAGCACAAATAAAAACAGAGATAGATCTGTTATAACGACGAATGCATGATGCAAATTACATTATAGAATTCGAAGCGAAGTGAAAATGTCAATTAATTGATTTCAAATGGCATTGAAAGCCACTGAAAGATAGAGAATACTTGTCGTTGCAGCAACATCTAAATGTAGATCGACTTTATAAACTTCAGAAATCACTATGGATGCAAGTCTTGGATCTAACGAAAAATTCTAGAATTTTTACTAATAAAGAATTTTTGAGATCATGAATATAATGTATAAAAGTCCCTTCTATACGTGAAAAAAGAGTCATGTTCAACGTGATTCTGAATGAAAACATTTAGAGCTCAAACGATTGCAAATAAAACTTGATCTACGATCTTTGAGAGTCTAAATGGGATCATAACATGATCGGACACACAGGCCTTACTTAGACTGACTTTGTGATCGTAATCTAGAAAAAAAGAAATCGCAAATATGACTTTTAAAATATTAAGAAGCTTGATCATATGCGAGATCGAAATCTGATCAAAGTTATCAGGTGCCTGAATGCTAAAGTTGAGATGTAGAATAAAATTATTTAGAGTCCCAACAAGAACATAATATGATAGAGATATACAATTAAGTCGAAGAACCATACAGATACATGATTCTGATCCCAATTTCCTTAATCGTTTTGAATCTGTTACAAATCTTGAAGAGTCGGAATGTGAGGATTCACGATCATGATTACTTGCAAGCTCACGCAATATTTACAACTACATTATCATATTGCCCAAAGTAAACATAGAGATCATCAAGGAACTGAACCCAATCTTTGATTGACTGGATTGGATCTTCAGAAAACCTATATAGATCATCTCGATCTCAATTTTCTGTATGGATGATCTTAAACTCCATCTAAAACTTTCAAAAATGGAGCAATAAAACGTTGATATTGTTGATGTGTTTGAGACAACTCGATTTTTCAGGTTTATTATATGTATGACTGTGGTTTAAACTCAAGTCGTTAGGTATCGGCATCGGCATACGAAACTTCACTGGTTGCATAATTGGCTGAATGTTGCCTTTTCGAAGGATTCAATGAGTACCTAGTGGTTTATATCAACTTCCACTAATATAAATACTTTGATTACTTCCTTCATCTATAAGCAGTATTACTTCTAGAGCCAGACTTGCTGGCTATTATTTAGCTAAATCTGATACAAATATATCATAGTATACTTTCTGTGTTTATTGTTACACCTTCATGATAATTGCATAATCATGTTTGATTGTATCCAAGACAACTGTGACAATCCATTAAATACATTATCCCCTTCCATGCTCAACAAATGTATATATATATATATATTAGCTTTTTTAATCCAACAAAACTTCACCAGCAGATAATGATGTATAGAGTAGTAGTGCCTGGCAGCCTTTAATATTGGCAGATGATTGATTTCACCAGCTGTTGTAATGATGCTGAATTGATTTTGTATTTCTCTTTTTGACTATTTTACGATTAATTTTTATTCTTTTTTTTGTGATTATGGTTAAATGGAAGTTAAATGATTTTCTGATTGATGATTTTTGTATATTTAAATGTATATCACGTGCATATAACAAAAAAATTTGTTTTTTTAAGATTTTTTTAATTTAACATAAAATATGGCAAATATTTTTATATATATTTTTTTATTATCAACTCACATTATTTTCATCAAATACTCGAAATACTAATGAGGCAAATTTACTAGGATCTCCTTGTGGAAAGAACTGTTTGTAGATTTTTATAAAACCCTAAAAATATGCAAATAGAAGTGAATAAAATACAGAAGAAAAGAAATAACAAATCAAGTTGTTATTATTCATTTAAACACGCAACACTTGAAGCAACAGAAAATAAAGCAAATGAAAAAAAATATATGTTAATAATGAAAATTTCCAACAACACATTTAATGCTTAATCCAAAAAATAAGTTTTCATAACAAATTCTTGGCATAACAAAACGTTAGTTAAAATAATACACAACAAAAAAATAATAGACAAATATTTCATAAAAAAGTACATAAGAATTTTTCATTTTAAAAGCAAAAAAAAAAAAATTGTGTGAAAATAACAAAAAACAACGTCTGCAAGAATACTAGTACGTATACGTAATATAAATACCAAATAATGTTACGTATACGTAATATAAATATTAAAATTTTCATAATAATGATGACGATATGATGATGACTATAGCATAGCTGATGAACAAGCTAAATTATGATTAAGTTAGTGTTGAAAAACTTGGTAAAATAGTGGCGCGAGGAAAAAAATAAACAAATCTTTAGGACTTAAGGCAAGTGTAGTAGTAATGGAGGAGTGAGTGTTGTATAAAATAAACATAAATATAAAAAAAAGCAAAAGAAAATCAACAAAATTGTTAGTTTTTCATTCTAAAATTTGTCTGTATTTCAGTTGCAAAAGATAAATGGGCTTTAGAGTGCTAAATTTTAAGCAAATTAAGTATATTAAAATAAGTACGAGTGTTATAAACTAAAATATATGTACACAAAAAAATTAAAGAATATTTTCCAGCAAAGCTGTAAAGTTTTCTTTCATTTTGAACATGATGTGCCGAAAACTAAGAACGAAATGTGTTACAAAATTTTAAGTATGTTCAAAGACTATTTCTTTTAAAACATGAAAAAAGGTTTTTGTTCAGAATTTTAAAGTAGACAGTGGTTCAAATTACTCTTTTCACAATTTTTGAAAATTTTTATATGAAAAGAGAGATTTGAAAAAATACTTTAAATATATGAGAAAATACCTTAAAAAAATATAAATATCTGATTTCATAGACAATTTTCTGAAATTTTTTCTTTTTCAAAGAACATTTTCTTTTTTATTAAAAAAAAATTTAAGAAATTTATTTTTTTTTATAGAAATTTCTGAAAAATTTTAATTTTATAGAGAACTTTCGGAAACTTATGATCTTTATAGAAAATTTTTGGAACATTTGTTTTTTATATAAAAAAATTTTCTGAATATTTATCTTTTTTACAGAAAATTTGTCTTTATTTTTATTTATAAAAATTTTCAGAATTTTTTTTTTCTTTTTATAGAAAATTTTCAGAAATTTCTTATGGAAAAATTTCAGAAAATTTGTATATTTTATAATAAGTTTGTAATTTTTTTAGAAAATTTTCGAAAAATGAAATAAATATATAATTTTGGGAAATTTACCTCTTAATAGAAAATTTTCGGAAAATTTATCTTTGTATTTGTATCTTTTATAATAAATTTGTTTTTTTTTTTTTTTTTAGAAAATTTTCGAAAAATTAAATAAATATATAATTTTGGGAAATTTACCTCTTTATAGAAAATTTTTGGAAAATTCATAATTTTTATAGAAAATTTCTCTTATTTATGGAAATTTTTTGTTTTCATATAAAATTTTTTAGAAGATTTTAGTTTTCATAGAAAACTTTTAGAAAATTCTTGTTTTTTATAATTTTTCCAAAATTTGTTATTTTATAGATACTTTTTTCTTTCTAAAAAATTCTTGCAAATTTTACCCTTTTTAAAAGCAATTTTTGGAAAATGTATTTTTTTATAGAATTTTTGGAAAATGCTTCTTTTTATAGAAAATTTTTCGAATTTAGAAATTTTTCCCTTTTTTCAAATTTTTTTCCCTTCTATTCACATGGATGTCAAAGTTCTTCGTACAAAAATTTATATACGAATTTTTGTATTTAATGCATGCGGGGTATAGCACGCTGCCTCTTCCGTCCGTCAATTTGTTACCCAAGTGTTCGCATGGATGTCCGAATTTTTCGTCCTAAATTTTTGGATTTTAGCTCTGTTCTCAGTTATACGTATTTAATTCATATAGGAGGATCCAAGGATCCCTAATGAAAGTCCGCCCCTTTACCCACAAATGTTCAGATTGATGTCTATGTTCATCGTACAAAATTCTCTTATAATTCTACAGATAGAAAAATGTTTTTGTATTTAATTCACATTGAAGGTACCACGCCCCCTATGGCTAGTCCTCTCATTTTCATACCCTACACCACTTTAGTGGGGAGGGTATATTGGGTTTGTGCTGATGTTTGTAACGCACACTAATATTGGTCCTATATCCACCTTAAAGTATAACAGTCGGCTTAGAATCATTTTCTGTGTCGATTTAGCTATGTCCGTCCGTCCGTACATGTAAACCTTGTAATCAAACTACAGGTCGCAATTTTGAAGATAATTCAATGAAATTTGTACCTGAAACGGAGCCTATTGAAAAAAAAGTATAACAATCGGCTTAAAATCATTTTCTGTGTCTATTTAGCTATGTTCGTCCGTCTGTCCGTCCTTCCATGTAAACTTTGTAATCAAACTACAGGTCGCAATTTTGAAGATAATTCAATAAAATTTAGTAAATGATGTTTTATTGAACATAGGTCCATTATATCATTTCATACAACTGAACCCCCCGAATAGGTCTCTTAAGTTCATATTTATGCTTAATATACTCGTATCTCGACAAAAAGCTGCAAAACCAAGTTCTATACTAGCCTTGATGAATCTGATGAAATTTCTATAGAAATTTTTCAAAAGATTTCTTTTTCTATAGAAAATTTTTTAAAAATTATTTTTAGAAAATATTTTTGAAAAATTATCCTTTTGTAAAAAATTATTGAAAAATTTCCATTCCAATTTTTTTTTAATTTTTTTTTTTTTTTGTAGAATATTTTTTAAAATAAAACAATTTTGAAGAATTAATATTTTCATGGAATTTTTGATCTGTATTGTAGAAATGAATATTATTACAAAAATTATTTCATTTTTTCTTAGTAAAATTAATAAAAATACCACTGTAAATATTTGTTAGTATTATATAAAGTTGCAAAAAACTAAATTTAAGCAAAACATGAAAAGTAAAAAGAAAATGCAAACTTGTTAAAAACTTTTTTGCTTTTACTACTTTTTACAGTTTTCATAAAGCAAAATATAAAAAACAGACATTTATTTAAAGGTAAAAAATATAAAATTAGTACTAAATAAAAAACAAAAATTAGCCAACATAAAAATATACCCAAGAAAAGACAAGCAACAAACATTTAAAAGTGTTAAGTTTATAAAACTTACTTGTTCTGTGAGTAAACCATTCGGACAGTCTTTTAGAAAACCTTTGTGCCTAAACGCAACAAAAAGTGGAGTAAAGACCAGACAATTAAATGAGAAATCAAAGAAATTAAAATAGACGTAAATTGAGACAAGGAATTGAAAAAAAAGCAATTTCTTGCTTTTTACAAAAGTTTAATAATTTTAAAATTAAAATTCTAACAAAAAAAGAAAAATATTAAAATTAGGAAAATAACACTTACCATTGTCTGATTTCTTTTTCGGTAACTGTAAGTAAACGAAAAAAAAGAAGAAATATTAATTAAATAATAGCAAATATGAATTCAAATTAATTCTAAGATTTTCTTACAATTGTTTTTATTAAACAAAAATTCGCTAGCTATTGTTATTTTTAACAAATGCTTTAAATGGTTTGAAATAAGCAAACAATCATTAAGTGCTATTGAGTGAATTTTGTTGATTTGAATACCAAATTCTATTTTCATTAAGTCGTATTTCCGTTAGAAAAAAATTCAACTAAAAACAGGTAAGAAATTATAGTCGGTCGAGGCCGACCATATATTGCCCTATACCTGTTACAAAAATAAAATGTGATTTAGACATTTAGACATTTAAGTCAAATTTTAAAGGGGGATTTGTATAGGGGCTATGGTCAAATGAGACCCTATAATTATAAAATTCATGAGCGTCATTAAGGCTAGTATAGAACTTGGTTTTGCAGCTTTTAGTCGAGATACGAGTATATTAAACACAATAATTATGAACTTAAAATCCCTATTCGTCGGGTTCAGTTGTATGGGGGCTAGGTGAAATAATGGACCGATGTTGACCATTTTCAGTAGGCTTTGTCTCCGATACCATAGAAGATTATGTACCAAATTTCATTGAATTATCTTCAAAATTGCGACCTGTACAAGCCCTATTCAGCGGCCCAGTTGTATGGGGACTAAGTGAAATAATGGACCGTTCTTAATCATTTTCAATAGGCTTCGTCTCGGTACCATAGAAGATCAGATGCCAAAATTCATTGAATTACCTTCAAAATTGCGACCTGTAGTTTGATTAAAAGGTTTACAAGCCCTATTAGGGGGTTCAGTTGTATGGGGGCTAGGTGAGAAAATTGGCCGATGTTAACCATCTTCCCTGGGACCAAATTTAATTGAAGTATCTTCAAAATTGCGACCTGTAGTTTGATTACAAGGTTTATATGGAGGGACAGACAGACAGACGGTCAGACGGACGGACGGAGGGACGGATATGCTAAAACTACACAGAAAATGATGCTAAGCCGATTGGTATACTTTAAGGTGGGTATAGGACCAATATTATTGTGCGTTACAAACATCAGCACAAACCCAATATACCCTACCCACTAAAGTGGTGTAGGGTATAATAAAAATAAAAAACCAAATATCTAGCAAATAAATGTAAAAAAGACGTGCTGTTTCACTCTGTGTGGAAGAACTTGCTTGTGGTATGTCTCTTCTTGTTGGAATTTTCACAAACAATAATATTTAAAATTGATGTATAAGTGCATGATGATTCTACTCTTAAAACCATGCTGGAGATGTGACCTAAAAAGAGATTTGTTTGTCAACAAGTTTTTTTATAGTTTGCATATTTTACATTTATTATTTGAGAGGAAAAAAGGTCACACAAACCCTAAATTAATCTTAATCCCTTTTTTATAGCACTGCTGTAAAAACAAAATTTCTTGTTATTTAAAGAATTTGGTAAAAGAATTTTGCAAACCACAACTAAATCAAAAACATGTTTATTTGGGTAAAAGAAAAAATATGTGGTTACTGAATAAAATATGAGGGCTTAAGTTTGTGATGAAAGTGTAGAACAACTTAATTAAATTTGTTAAAGGGTAAACAAATGAGAATTTGAATAATTTTTTAAGTTTGTTTCCTTAACTTTTTTTAGAAAGGATTGTCGATTAAGGATTTGGTTTTAAGGTTATGGAAAAGTTTCTAAGGTTCTATTTTTATATTATTTTATAGAGAGAAAAACTTTAGTATTTACCTCATTTGCACTTAATATAATTGCAATTGATTCAAATTAGTACGTTTTCATAAAAACACTTATTTCAATTACCTTGTCAACAAACATCTTACTCTCATTTCAAATGCATTACATTTAGTTCAAAAAACTTATTAAACTTTTATTGAAATTTTTTCTCAATTTTCCAATTTTCTTCTATCTACAATTTCACTTCAGCTTTTTTCGTTTATTGCTTTTTTCTTTATCAACTTAATATTGTATAATGAGTAAATAACTTAACGAACAATCTTGCATTACAAATCGATAAATTGCATTATTCAAACTCTTGGTTGTTGCTATTTCTTTTTAAAACTACAGCCATTGCTGCTGCTGCTACTACTCTGTGCATTTGTAATATAAACTTAAATCAGCAATCATGATATTTATCAACAACAGCTATAATAAATTGCTGTCATAAATCCCTTCTAAAATGTAGTTCATAGTATTTCTAATACCTTCAACAGCATCATCAAAGTACCAGTAACAGGATTAGTATATAAAGTGTATTTTACGAGCAGTTAGTTAGTTGATCGTCATTATCATCATAATTGTCATCCAGTATCAAATTGCTTGTTTTTAGCTTATGTTCTCTTGCACATACATATATTTGTAAATAATATAAATCCCTTAGAAAAATCTTAAATTTATATGTTTATATAAAACTTTGAAAGATGTTGCAAAATAATACAAATATTTATTATACCCTACACCACTTTAGTGGGGAGGGTATATTGGGTCTGTGCTGATGTTTGTAACGCACAGTAATATTGGTCCTATATCCACCTTAAAGTATAACAATCGGCTTACAATCATTTTCTGAGTAGATTTAGCTATGTCCGTCCGCCTGTCCGTCCTTGTAAACCTTGTAATCAAACTACAGGTCGCAATTTTGAAGATAATTCAATGAAATTTGGCACATAATCTTCTATGGTACCGGAGACGAAGCCTATTGAAAATGGTTAACATCGGTCCATTATTTCACCTAACCCCCATACAACTGAACCCGCCGAATAGGGCTCTTAAGTTCATAATTATGTTGAATATACTCGTATCTCGACAAAAAGCTTCAAAACCAAGTTCTATACTAGCCCCCCTTCAAAATTTGACTTAAATTTCCACAATTTTATTCAACAATAAATGGCTTAAGTATATCTGAGGCAAGGTACAATTGAACTTAAATGCTTTATTATGAAAACTAAATCACATTATATTTTTGTAACAGGTGTAGGGTATTATATGGTCGGCCTCGCTCGACTATAATTTCTTACTTGTTATACCCACCAACAAGAAAGATGGGGGTATATTGTTTTTGTCATGCCGTTTGTAACACATCGAAATATTCATTTAAGATCCACAAAAGTATATAGCATCTATAGCAATGAAATTCGACAGGAACCTTTTTTTAGGAACCTTAATATCATTGTAACATTTTTTAAGGATCGGTCCATAATTGACCCTATCCTCCATATAAGGACCCCTTCAGAAAATTACTTTAACGCTCATAACTGCCTTAAAAAGTATCTATAGCGATGAAATTCAACATGAACATATTTTATAGGAACCTTAATATAATTGTAAAATTTTATAAGGATCGGTTCATAATTGACCCTACCCTCCATATAAGGTCCCCTTCAGAAAATGACTTTAACGCTCATTACTAGCCTAAACTAAAATTGTTCTAGAAAATTTGACGAGGATCGGTCCATAATTGACCAAACCTCCACCCCCCGATATATCTCGAAAATTGTTTTGATCATAACAAAAGCATCGATTCTTAAATATCAAAGTTTATTTATAAGGAAGCATTCCTTTTCGGCAATGATTTGATGGTGGGTATACAAGATTCGGCACAGCCGAATATAACACTCTTACTTGTTTTTTAATGGATTTGTCTGCTTGCGTGGTGCAAATAAATTCCAAGATTTATGTTATCAACAATAATAAAAAAGAAAATAAAATACTGCTGAAAAAAAGTTATGCAAGTTATGAAACTCCATTAAAAATTTTAAGTTCACAAATTTTTATAAAAATAGTAAATTTCCAAAAAAAGAAAAATTTAATGGTTTAAAATTTTACATTTACAAGAAGAAATTTTTTCGAAGATCTTATAATTTTTGTCGAATGTGTTATGGACAAAAGTATACACTGTAAACCCTTTTAGTTTTATTTTTATATTTTTGCAACCACATGATACTGGCAAAAAAATATATAATGTTTAAATTGAAACAAAGAAAAATACTAGATACTCGAAAAACCACAGTTCATTATTTAAGAATATAAAATGTAACCCACCAGTATGAATGATGGTATTAGAGTATAAAAAGTTCTTTGCTTTATTTTATATTTGCTATTCAGTCACATAAAACAATAAAGAATTCTTTTTATTGAATTAACAAGGTTTATAAACAAGTGCACTTTATGGTCCAGCACTAACGGAAAAAACGCAACAAAAACAATACAATTTTCAAACATACACACATTTATATTCAAATGACATTTTATTTCATTCATTTCAGATTTAATACTTTGATTTAAATATAAAACGAAAATTTTAATATAAAAGATATTCCGATACATGTTTAGTACTTAAATAACAATTAAAAACTCTAAACTTTTACTAAGTTAAATTTTTTGTCTGCATCTTTGTAAAGATGAATTGATACATTTCATGTTTTTATTACTTGTATTGCTCTGCTTCACTCTAAATACCCAGAGTTGTTAGCCACCAACCTACTGATAAGACTTTTAAACAGCACATAGAACACTATTTATTCTACACCCACTAGTATTATGTATGTATGTCTTATCTTTTTTCTAATTATCCCTAAAACTTCTCCACAATTTATTCCAGCTTATTTCCCTTAATATTTATTTTTTTATGATCTTACTTCGTCACAACCCTACACAAGTTGTTTTCATTATCATTACTTGTCCTTAGTAATTACTGTAGTACATTGTCTATCCTAGTCGTTGTACCTTTGTGTTTAGGTGTATAATTTTAAATTACCCAATACAACTGGTTCATTTAACTACAATACTATGTATCTTAATGTAGAGGTATCTGGGGTTGTAATATAAAATTTTATTAGGTCAACGCACACACTTTACGCTATTGTATCCAAATAATGACATTTTGTGTTGTAAGTTTAAAAAGGTATTTTATAGACGAAATAAAGAAAAAATAGGAAAGTGAATAGTAACTTAACAAAGGCATAAAGGTA